AACATATAGTTCGTCTTCGTGATGATGCCATGTACAGTTTTGGGTGTTTCATTTTTAATTTTATGAAAGCTTCAAGTGCAGCTAATTATTTGTACGTGCATACAGACGATGGAGGTGTTGAAGTTCTTTTATTTGCCGTCAAACGGTTGACCACTGCCGTGTGTGTATCCTGTCGCAAAATGCGGCAAAAAGTCCTACACGACAGTAATAATGTGATTAAGGTGTTTACATGTCTATACGATGGCGGTGTTGAAGCTCTTTTATTTGCCGTCAAACGGTTGACCACTGCCGTGTGTGTATCCTGTTGCAAAATGCGGCGAAAAGTCCTACGCGACGGTAATAATGTGATTAAGGTGTTTACATATCTATTCTGCACTTAAGTAATGCGACTAAAATAGGAATACTCCACATGTCTTAATTTGATTTCTGTTTACTTCGAATATGACTTTAGCCGGATTAAGGTAATCAAAAATCTCTGTTTACATGGTAGATTCTTAATCAGAGTATTGTCTTAATCGTGTTAAAATCGGAGTATTGTTGTCCATGTAAACGTACTCAATGTTAACATGCAAATTGACCTGTATTTACACAGAATGTTGGTAGTGGTTGTGTCTGAATGAGAAAAGAAATCATGTAATTTGAAAGAAGTAGTCATTGAATGCATTTGGTCCAAAGCAAAGATGATCCATAGTTTAGCCCACATAGACTGTTGTTCACCTAAGTATTGAGAAAACTGTAAATCATGCTACTAATTGATTATATTCTAGCTTCATCAGTAATTACCTGTATGTAGTGTTGACTGGAAGCCGTTTGCTCTTCAAACTGGTCTGACCCTGCATACACACTGAAGAAAGGAAATGTGGAGTACTGGCCCATTAGCAGGGCGAGGGTGGTGTTAAAATCTGTCCGATTCCATCCATTTGATACTGCCCAGCCACCTAACTACACACACCGAGAGACAGAGAGAGAGAGAGAGAAAGATAAAGAACATCGGAGCAAAATACACAATGCAAGTGCTTTTACAGTTTCCTTCATCCTAAAAAGTGCGTGTACCTGCTGGATTAATGTGAGGAAGGGTTTTGAACCCACTTTCTCTGGGGATTCTGCGTCCATGCAGGTGTTGAAGTATTTCTTTGCTTTCTGTTCTGCTGCACTCACAGAAACAGCCTCCTCAGGAGCCTCTGATCACACAGGGATCATACAGATTGAATGTCAAAGACGATTCAAGATTGTTTTATACAATACCATAAATGACTACTGAATAGTTTTGTGGTTCATCAGAGGCAAAACCAAGTATTACCTAGAAAAGAAAAGTTTGTTACGACAAATTTGTTGACAAAGTCTCACCTGATAATTAAAAAAAGTCTAGCCTTAGACAGAGAGAAAGAACAGCAGAACAAACAATAGACAGAATGATAGACACATAGAGCAACATATACACTGTCTGAGCGATATATAGATCGCTAGAAAATAGATCAACCATTAGACTTAAACCAGCCAAAGATGGCTTGCTGGTTTTAGTTAAAGCTGGTGCTCCAGACATTCACCCTATAAATATTTTAAATGCATCTTATTGATCTTATTGTAAATGAGTCATCCATGCATGTTTTTTTTTTTATTATCATTGTAATTTTTGTAATTATTGTGTTCACATTATTGTAATTTTTTATCAAAATGTCATCACTCGATCTTCCAGTGTAACACCAGACTTCTCTCTAGTGACTTATACCGGATTTCTCCAATCACTTAGTCCATTTAAACTCCGCCCCTTTCTTACAATCGACTTCCTCCATCCAATCAACACCCGGTGGATAAAACCAAGTCCCGTCCATTTTTTCTTTTTCGATAATCCGTTTTAACTCAAATGGTTGTCACAATGCGGAAGAAAAGATCTGTTGCTACTTACTTTACAATGCAACTTTTTTGTGCCACAACCTCTTTAAAACTAGCCAACAGAGCAGTATGACCGAATAGAAGACCAGAAAACCAGCTTAGGCTCAGGAAGACAGACAGATAGAAGCAGATATGGAAACTGAAGACACTAAGAAACTGTGTCATTGTTCTATTTCAGGTACAAAATATCCATAGTGGAATTTCACTAACCTAGTATTTCCTTGATAGTTTTCAGTAAAGCAGTCTTTCTGGCTGGAAATTTGACTAGCTGTCCATCACTTTTTCCTTGGAAATCTGTCTCTCTTCTCATCCTCACTATTCCTCCTGTCCTCGCTTCTCTTTTTTTGTCCAGTTCTCTGTTGCCTTCATTGGAGACCCCCTTGACACTGTGTCTCTCCTCGCTGGTGGAAGATCCACCTGTCCCACAGGCAAACAGGAAGTAGTCACAGGGGCGAGAAAAGGGATCCATGGCAACAGAAAAATGCTCTGATGCTCTTAGACAGGCGGGAGAAAGGCAAGGAGGAGCAGCTGGAACAAGAGAGAGAAATTACGACCACTGTTATTAAAACTACAGGTGCATCTCAATAAATTAGAATGTCGTGGAAAAGTTCATTGCATTGAATTTATTTAATACACGAGTTTCACAATTTGAGTTGAATTACTGAAATAAATGAACTTTTCCACGACATTCTAATTTATTGAGATGCACCTGTATACCAGCAGTTCTACTGTAGTTCCTAGTTCCTAGCTTTGTACCTGATTTCCATTGTGACGTCCAGGGGTCTGCAGTCTTTTGCAGGTGGGAATAGACCCCCAAACCTAACGCAGCTGCAAAGAGAGAGAAGGCAAAAACAACCAATAGGAGCCTGCGGTACTTGTTGCAGACCACTGGATGTGGTTGAGGCTGTTCCTCTGGCGTTGTGACCATTTCCTGTGGGGATATAAGGTTAGCTAATGACTTACTCTTTATGTTTTATTGAGATGGACGTGTTGTACGGAAATGTCCATTTAAAAGCACAACTGGGAAAAGCAGGAATGCATAACTCGTAGACTTTATGATGGATTGAAATTACACTGGCAGTCAAACATCCAACCACAATGAGAGCGAGTCCAAGGAACGTTCACTAAAGAACAATGAAAATGAAGAAACACACTTGTTTCCATAAACCTCACAGTAGTGAAATTTACTTTTATGTCTATGTTTAAAGGGGAAATGTAATTCCCTGCTTAACATACAGCTTCTCATCAAATTAATAAACACAGGGATATGAAATTTTGATTTGAAATAATATTTTCTATATATAGTCTTTCTTTCCTTTCTTTTTCTTTCTTTTTTAAATGTATTTATTTATATTTTATGGCTTACACGATATCGGAGAGCTGACAGGACGTTCAGTGCGAAAGGAAAGGACAACAAGCCGAGATTCGAACTCAAGTTGACCAAAGCACAACGCTGTTCACGAGGGTCTCTGCTATAGCCTTAAAGCTTTCTGAAGAAGAGGAAAATACTCCTTTAAAATGTACAAAACAATAGGGCAAGCAATAAGATGAGCTCGACAACAACATTACAGCAATATAAAAACGATTGTTCTCTCAGGTTGTTTTGGCACTAATAAATGATGCCATTTGGGTTCAAAGAAGAGAGTCACATTATCAAAAGTGAAATATGAAGCACAGCTCACTCCAAAGTATTTATA